AATCTTATCAAGTAAATGATATTTCAAGTAAGAATGCCAGTGTAATATCATTACAGCATAGTGAAATCATTACAGTAACTGATTAAGTGTTTATGTGTGTTTCTGCAGGGGACAGTAGCAGAAGTCAAAGTGTGCTGGCTGCCTTGCTCTTCCTGGTGAGTGATGGCTTAATATGTATATGTATTTATTCTTTAATTCATCCATTCATTTATTCATTCATACTATTTACACATTTTCTTTACCATAAATATTTATATTGTTATTGAATCCATAGCTACACACACACTTTGTGCCCTCTGTGCCTGACATAGAGGCCTCAAAATACAAAATTCACCCCCTTTGTGGTGAGTATTTACATAATGACATGGTTAACCCATTACAGAACTACAAAGGGTTGACTCTAGGGACTGTTTCCAAGAGACTGTGTGGCCAGATCTCTGCTGGATAGGTCCAATATATTTCACTAGGAACAATATGAATGCTGTTTGGCAAACACCATAAACCAAATACAATTAGTCAACATAAAAAGGGCAAACCTTTATTTATCAGCTTCAGATTAACTTAAGCCAAAACACTAGTTGTGAGCTGTAGGCTGTACTGTATATGCTGTGTGTAAGATGATGTGTGGACTATTTGCAGTGGCAGAGTCTGGGAGGACACCTGGGATCCGGCCAGCAGAATCACCTGATGACCTATACCAGGGGCATTCAATTAAAATTCAAAGAGCTCCAGTTACAAAAATGTCCTCCCAGCAAAGGTCCGAATCTTATATTGTCACTCGAAATAGTGTTCCCTGATGTAAATAAAAAACAACATACGTACTTTTCTATATCATTTATTGTCAAATTTCAAGTGTTTTCAATATACTTTAAACATACCGATAAGTCTGAACTTGTATGGCACTTGAATGGAAAACATTACTGTAGTTGTCTTTACTACACTTCAAGTAACTGAATTTCTTCTGAATAAAATAAATAAAAAGTGCAAACACAGCTTTGAGCAGCCTGAACTTAGGGTAATGTAAAAACATTCAGAATCTTTTGAATAAAATAAAAGTGCATCTTTAAGAAAAAATGTAAACAAAAGACCTTTGAGCTGCCCACCCCCTTTTTTAAACATGTATTAACTACATTTAAAATAAAATAACACAGGAACCTTAATGCCTACATTTCAAGTAAAATAGAACAGGGCAGAATTTACTGAATAAAAGAAAAGTGCAGAGCTTTGAGCAGCTCCCTTTCTCCTCTCTCCTCTCCTTCCTCCCTTTCCAACTTCCTTTCCTAGTGAGAGAAATGGGCATGTAACTTTCTTGCCAGCAGTTTGAACCTTGGCTTAAATGGGGTTAGTGCCATTCTCATGCTCATGTGGAGATGCTCATTGGTAAGCCTGGAACAGTACTTTGTTTTAATAATGTTCATCGTAGAGAAAGCTGTCTCACAGCTGTAAGTTGATCCAAACATGGTTAAGGT